GATCTATTGCACTTCTGGGGATTAGAGACTATGTCTGGGGAGTAGTTTGTGGCCGATTTAGGGCAGGAGTTGTTTCAACTGTGCATGATTGAGCCGGTGAGTAAGTCAGGGTACGAGACCCTGAATGATATGATTTATAGAGTCGAGAGTGGGAGATTTGTTGGAGCACATTGGGAAGATGTGTATTATATGGGAGGTCTGCGGACAGGGTCCCGCAGGATGGTTATTCAATAATATCAGGGATTCAGTGGTTTTAGTAAGCATTATTGATTGGCGAAGGAAATCGCCAAGGGAAGTAGCTCATTGTTGAGACATTAGTTGGAGCATCTACTTTTTTTTTGGACATCAAGATTTGTCTGTGGGGTCATTTGATATTTAGGGACTGTTGCTTTCTCGGGAATTCAGGAAGTGTTTATAGAGTAATCAAAAGCATGTGAGCATTTGGGATTGGATGGTAATGGAGCACCAGTTGGAAAGAGTTGGTTGTCATTAGATCGTTCGTTAGAAAGTGAGAAGGATTGGAAATTCTCTAACTTACATGTATGCCGAGGACTTAGTCGAATCTAAGTGGGGTAGAATTGTCCCGGAATGAAGAAGCCGGACTAGTCTTGAAAGTGGGTTAAGTTTCGCATCGTTTTCAGAAAGGAAGACAATCGAAGTGGCTGATTGATTTGAGGTTTGCGTAAGTTGGGAATTCGGTAAAACTCCCCAGCATGTGAATCGTCTCATGTCGATGCTTGATAGCAGAATTAGGAACTTTTAGGATTTAGCATCAACCATTGAGGGTTTTCTTTGTTACTGTTCAGATTGCGGTTTCAAGAAGGGTCGGACAGGCGTTAATCGGTAAACCTCCCAGAAAGCGGGAAATTCTCCGAAGGAAACTCAAGAGGCGACAGTTGAGGAGCTAGTAACGCGTCAATAATTTACTTGTGCAATGTGCTTACATTTCCTAAGTCTTTGGGGTATGTTTCCCCGCAGTAGTGGAATACACTTTTGATTCTTATCAGACTCAGATTTTCGGCAACCTTGGGAATAATTGTGGAAGTTTTCTTGGACTAGATTTGGTATTAGTAGAATCGGATCAGTCTCGATCCAGTATACACCTTGTAGCGAGTGAATGTGAAGTTAGGTATTACCAATTATGTACATGGTAGTGATCCTTCATGTGTAACGGTGGCTATGCAAGGTGTCAATAAGGTTGATAGTTTATCAGGAGCATTCCAGTCATGAGCTGAGGGTCAGGTGGGGCATACCAGACTCATGTTGTGGGCTCAGAGGCAATCCAGACCTATGCTAAAGGCCTTGTAGGGGTATTCCAATCATAGGCTATGGGCCTAGTGATCCTAGTAGTTATTTCTTCTGTTGGAGTGCTTTTGGAATGGAAACATTGTTGAGGTTCGGGCGAGCCGTAATCGGCTGCGAGGAATCACAAGATTTGTGCAAAATACAAGGGTAGGTCCTTATGAGTTTAGACCCGAGTTTCATATATAGTGGTATTATGATCTAGGATATTCCATCATGAGGATGACTGGACCCTATGATTGATTGGACTTAGCATGTTTGGTATTCCAACCCGAGGGTCGATTAAGCCAAACATGTGTAGGGTACGAGTGTATTCCATCATGAGGATGACTGGGCCCGTCGTAAGCATGCCTAGTATTCCAGTACGAGGCTGATTGGGGCCAGGTATGAGTGTTGGGCTTATGAGCAGGTTATTATATGTATGCGGTTCAGAAACCAAAGGAAACATTGTCCTATTGATCCAAAAGGATCCATCTCCCAGTTTACATCCCGTTGTTCATTATATCCCTGGGTATTGGTTATCAAAGCGGGTTTCTCTTGAACGAGTACCAAATCTCTTGTCAAGAAAAGAGTTATAGGTAGCAGTGTGTGATTTCTTGTTATGCTTTCTGGTAAGAACCTCAGGTTATCAGAAGTTGAGTAGCCAGTTAGGAGTTAAATGCAAAAAAAATTGACAATAATTCAGCGTGGGCAGTCTGTCAAGGAGACGGATCAATTGGAGACTACAGATTCGGATTGAGTACATGTGATCATAGTGCAAGGGATTCGTTTATTTCCAGGTTTTACAACCCTACGAGGGTTGGTTGCATTTGCCTTGGAAAGGTTAGGGTTATGCCTGGGATTGTAGCTAAGTAGTTCAAGTTGTAGGCGTTTAAAGGTTGATAAGAAACGATTTTGAGGACGAAATCAAATTTAAGTGGGGGAGAGTTATAACATCCCATTTTAAAGAGATAAGTTATATAATAAATCAGGAACCCCGGGAAATCATAATTATTATTTTATATTGTTAGAGCTCAGAAATTAAACAATAATTAGTGGGGTGTTGGTTTCGGGAAGCCAAATGGCATAGTTTATAAGTAACGGGTGTGTTGGATTCATTTTGTAAGTATTTATGAAGGTAGGGACAAAATGTGAACTTTTGGGGCCTCACTTGAAAAGATTTTAGAGTGTTAGGGACTGAATGGTAACATAGGGGCTCAATTTGAGAATAAGTTGTGAAGGAGGGGTTGTTTTGTAACTATTGGAATTCTTATGAAAAACAATTATGGATCACAGGTTTAAAGGGTAAATTAAGGGATTTGATTTGAAAGAAAAGAAGAGAGTGAGGGACCATTGGTGTCAATATTGGAAGATGCTTCCATGAGTCGGGGTTTATAACCTATTATTCCCCATCAAAGACTAACCTTATTCCCAGCCGTCACCTTCCCCTTATGTTTCCCTCACCGGCCACCACACTCACTCCACTCGCCCTTTCAGCCGCTGCTATCGACCACCGAAGTTGCTATCGCCAAGCCGATGAGAACGGAAAGGTTATTCTCGGCCGTATCCCATACTGCCGACAACGTGAATGCATCCGCTGCCCCCAGCCATCGTTGTTCTATTGTGGCTGAAAGGGTGACCGACGATGGGACGTCGAGAGCGAAGAGGGTTGAGCTACTACCACCAATAGTCGCTGCAGTGGTCACATCTTAGCTTCAGTCTCGTCTGCCGCCAATGGCCACTACTGTTGTCGTTTTCTTAGGCTACTTCCATCCACCGCGCTTGGGTGTTGGATTCATTTTTCTGAGCAAATAGGATGGGTATGCGAGTTGTGTTGCTCTTGATTGGGTGTTGTGCGAATTGCTGCTGCCGGAGATTGAAGAAAAGGCCCACCATGGCCGCCGTGTTGCGTCGCCACCAACCACCATGGAAGGTGGTTGTATGTGTGTATGATTTTGTGTACTTTAGGTGTGTGTGTGTGTGTGTTATTTGGATTGTATTGTAAGTTGTAACCAAACATAATAGTAGTTAAAATCCATCACCACCACCGTGGGGTACTGGCTGCCGCCTCCTACCGACATTGGCCACCGTGTTGGATGGCGGTGTACCTTGTTGGATCGTGACTAGTTTGGGACATTTGGACAAGGGGCTGAAACCCTAATGGGCCTTGTAATCCCTAATGGGCCCAATGAATCCTAATGAGCTTAGTGAAAACCCTAATAGGTCTAATGGACCCTAATTGACCTAAAGCCCCAACAAATTGATAGATAGGCTAGTATTTGGGTTGGAAAAACCATAATGCCAATAAAAACCTAATTGTTGGAATCGTTTAGGACACACACAAGAAATTATTATTAAACCTAAATAATAATTAATAATTATTGGCAAACTAACTTAAGGAAATAATGGACTTAATGGATTAAGTCCTTAATAGATTAAGTAAGAAACACTTAATCCTAATCATCATTTCATGTGAAGGCCTTAATCTCACTCGGGCCTTGAATTGGGCGTTATTATTGGGCTTTGGCGACTGGACTATCGGTGGGTCATCCAAGAACAAGTTAATGGACTAAAGTAATTAGATAGGCCTTAGGATAAGGCCCATATAAGGACTGGGGCCCAATTTTGAAAATTAGGCCATAGATGTGTCATAGTTTGGGCCTTTGTGATTATGAGATATTGGGTACTGGGAATTGGATTAGAATAATTGGATGGGCCTTAAGGAAAGACCATGTAGAGATTTAGGCCCAATTTGGAAAGTTGGGCCATATGTTCAGCTTTGGCCCATCATTTGGCTATTGGGCTTTTATCATGTGAGTTGAACCTTGGGCTTGTAACCCAATTATTAATTGGGTATTGTTTGATGTTGACAATGCGGAAATCTATCAACCAGCAGCTGGTGTTGTATCTGCAGGACTTTAGTAGTGCCAAGTAAGTTATCCTCACTATACTAAGGGGTCTAAGGCACCAAGGCCGGCCCATTGGATGAATTATCCTAGCAGTGTTAGATGTTGATCATGATTTAGTATTGCATGCTAGTGATGTATGCCAGTTGATATGCTAGTTTGGTAGGTCTGTAGGACTACTTGTGATATTTTCTGATTTCCTGTATGTGTATTTATCTATTACATGTCGACATGTTATGTGGGATGGGTCGAGGTTGTACTGCTCCGTGCGGTAGCCAACAAACCCTAGAGTATTCCAGATATGAGCTGAGGGCCCGATAGGCATTCCAGACTCATATTGAGGACTTAGGAGCATTCCAGATATGAGGCATTCTAGACTTGTACTAAGGGCTCGATGGCATTCTAGATACGAGCTGAGGGCCAGGTACGTATTCCAGACTCGTACTGAGGGCCTAGGGGGTAATCCAGCTTGTAAAGTTGTGGACCCATTGCATGTTATTCAGTTGTTATGATATGTTATTTATTCATGTGTTATTGGACTATATGTGTATCAATATTTCCGGGGTAACTCACTAAGCCTTTGAGCTTACATTTATTGATTATTGTTTCAGGTGCAGCGGATGACCACATGAAGGGAAAGGTGTGATCATACAGCTCCTGATTTTCATGGATTTTATGATTTGATTCTAGGGATACTCTGATGTTTAAACTATTTTGAAACTAAACTTTAATAACTTAACGGTTTTTAAATGTATTAAAATTTTTTAAATTGGCTTGAATTTTATGGGTGTTAAACCCAAGTCAACACTGAAATCAATAACCATGTCGAGCACATATTGCCTTAGGCGTTGGAGGAGTGTAATCATCAAGATCAATGGTGAAAGTCCTGGAAGATACAATGGAGTAAATAACAATAGATATGTCATTGGTCTCATCATGGGCTATCAATCCTTCACTGGAAGGGATATCAACCGTCCGCATTGGAGTATCGTCATCAAGATTATCTTGTATTGGAGAATGTTGAGGAAAATTTTCTGGTTCGGATTGCTTATCATCATCTTGGTTATCATTCTCAAGTGAGTCATAATCGAAGGAGACATAATGGTTTTGACTTTCTAGAACTGACTGAACTTGTGTTGGTGAAACTAGAGATGAAGAGGATGGTTTATCATAATCAGATAGAGCATGAAATAAGGAATCTATGAAAGAGAATGACTTAGAGGTTGTACCAGATTTAGGGAGAGATGTGGGTTCCTCTAAATTTGCTCCATGATTATCATCAGAGACGGCTGCAGATGAGATAGGGGGTGGTTGACTTGATTTGGATTTCTTCTTCTTCTTCTTCTTTGCAGACTTCTTGGATGCATGATCAAAATGCTTCCTCTTCTTTTTTGGAGGCAAAATAATTCCCTGGATGTATTTCTAATATGAGCATAGAGAAGCACTGTTTTCATCCAACTTTGTAAGAATAGAATCCGAAATGATGACTGGTTGTGAAGAACCAGATTCAGCTTCCGTACGAATCCGATATGGCATCATACACAAGAAATGTTGATGTGGGCCTTCTGGAATCCATCCGGGTGCAAGATTACTATTATGGATGGCATCATAAATAATGATTGACCACCAACAAGGATGACGAATCAAAAACTTACTCTCTGATGTAGGGAGAAAATTAAGGAAATCTTCCCAAAGAATTGACGCGTAGTCAACATTGATGTCGTAGAAGAGCCCGTACATAAGAATCCAAAGGTCTGTTTTACCTTTGCTGCATCCACCAACTGATCCGAATAGACATCTAGTGAGAACGAAACTGAGAAAGTGCCATGGTGTGGGAAGAAATGATTTCTGAATTCTTGAAAGACATGGTTCTTGTTCGTCTTCAAATTTATACCCCATTTCCTTTAACATTGTAAATAATTTAGCAGAAGTTGGTGTGACAAATGTTTGAGGTGTAGGAGAAATATCGCTTAGACCTAAACTGATTATGAACTCTTCTTTAGTGAAGAACAAAGTATCTTGAAAAAGATTAAATTCAACATTAAGTTGTGTGGACCTTGCTCTTGTGGAGACGACTGCTGACGGAAAGACTTCAGTGATAAGAGATTGTGGAGTTGGAGAAGTAGAAAGAAGTTCATATGCCAATGGACATTTATGCAGATATTCAACTATGACACTGACTTCTTTGGGTTGTTCCTGAGTGTTGAGAAATGCAGTATAGTTGGATGCATCCATTTCAACTTTAGGTGATGATGAGTGTGTCGCAGTTGAAGGTCCAGTGGCATGAGAGTGTGAAGCCTTATGAGAAGACTTTGCTTTAGAATTCGGACCATCTTCTATGGCAGCCATGTCTTGAAAAAGAATAGAAAAAGGAAAAAAAATAAAAGGAATTATTAGTTAAAGAAAATAGCTTATAATCTTAACTAAAAGAGGGGAAGGGGGTTGAAATGTGTGAATTGTATTTACTAAACAAAGTTGTGACTTGAGTAGTATTTTTGATTCAACTATGGATAGGAAAATCTGCAAATTCATTTTACTGAGTATAGACCAGAAAGCAAATTACATGACAAGTTGGAATAGGAAAGAAAGAAATTGATGCCATATACAATAAAAAAAATTGATGTTACCAAATCAGAGCAAAAGTGCAAAGATCAAGTAAAACTGCTAAGTCATGGCCTATGATGACTATGGCATATCAAATGAAAATGTATTTAGAAACTAACATAAAATTAGATTTCGTAGAGACAACAGTTGACAAATAAAAAAATATATGTTGATCCAAAAATAACATATAATGAAACGAAACTGAAGATCACAAAAGAGTAAGAGAAGAGAAATTAACTTAAAGAAGATGGGTGTAGGTGATGGACTTGTGAGTATGAAAAGCAAGATATGCACCAATAAGTATAATGCTCACAGGAAAGATTTGATCAAAGACTCAACACTAAATAACCTAAGCATGGTATGGGAAGATGAATTATTGATCAAGAAGGAAAAAAGGAAGAAAAAATAAATAAATAAATAAATAAATAAAAATAAAAAAATGGAAAAAAAAACTTACTTAATATGATTGCAATAAGAAGAGATGTTCACTTAGAAGAAGTGAAAATGCCAATACTAGGGAAACCTGACAATAGTAGCATATGCATACACATGAATCATCAACCAACAGGGGGGGGAGGTAACTTTATTATATGAGGATATGAGCACATGTGAGAGAGAAGTTACTTACCAGTTAATGTCTTATTGAATCAGTGAGTGACAGAGAGAAATGAAACATGAGATATGCAAACACATGTTATGTCAAGAAGAAATGAAACATGAGATATGAAAACATATGTTATGTCAAGAAGAAACAAAACTTTAAAAGGTGTACATCATGATCATCATAGAGTGTAAGGAAAAGGAATGAACACATACCTAGAGTGATCAAGGAATGTGGTGCTCAACAAAAAATGATGAAAGACCATGTGATGATAAACACCAGATTTTGAAGATGATCCACTCAAGAGAGGTTGAATGATGATTCTCCAACAAGTAGTTCATGATGATCCAAAAGAAAAGAAAAGTAGGGTTTGTACAAGACAAAGAAAAAAAGAAAAAAAATGATCTATTGTAAAAGGAAAAAAACGTGAATTAGGTTTTTTTTTTTAAATGATCACCTATGGTTGTGATTGGCTCAAGAGATGATGATGAGATCAATTGATGTTGCTCAAAGACTTTGATGTTCACTAGGGTTTCAAAACTTGAAGGTAGCTCAAGTAGGGTTTCGAAATTTGAGGGTGGCTCAAGTAGGGTTTCGAAATTTGAGTGTGGCTCAAGTAGGGTGTCAAAATTTGAGTCTTGATCAAGTAGGGTTTCCAAATTTGAGTCTTGATCAAGTAGGGTTTTGAAATTTGAGGGTGGCTTAAGTAGGTGATCACGAAGTCTTGTTGATGATCAAGAGGGTTTTTGGCTCAAGAGTGGTGAATACTCTTGTTGATGATCACAAGATCGAGTGAATGAGCAAGAGGACGGAGCAATTAGTATATATAGGACATGATAAGGGTTTTGAATTTACTTGATGATCAAGATAAGGTTGTTGATTATCAAGAGAGAATTTTGAAAATAGGGTTTGCTCAAGAAGGAATTTTGGATTTACTTAATGATCAAGATAAGTTTGTTGATGATCAAGAGTGAATTTCGAAATTAGGGTTAGGGTCAAGAAGGAATTTGAAATTACTTGATGATCAAGATAGGGTTGTTGATGATCAAGAGGGAATTTCGAAATTTTGGCTTGGGTCAAGAATGTTTTCGAAATTGCTTGATGATCATGATAAGGTTGTTGATGATCAAGAGGGAATTTCGAAATTTTGGCATGGGTCAAGAAGGTTTTCGAAATTGCTTGATGATCAGGATAAGGTTATTGATAATCAAAAGGGAATTTCGAAATTTTGGCTTGGGTCAAGAATGTTTTCGAAATTGCTTGATGATCAAGATAAGGTTGTTTATGATCAAGAGTGAATTTCAAAATTTTGGCTTGGGTGAAGAAGGTTTTTGAAAGTGCTTGATGATCAAGATAAGGTTGTTGAGGATCAAGAGTGAATTTCAAAAATTTAGCTTGGGTCAAGAAGGTTTTCGAAATTGATTGACGGCTCAAGAGGGCATAAAAACGTTGTTGATCATGAATGGCTCAAGAGGGCACAAAAACCTTGTTGATCATGAATGGAAAGAGAGGGCACAAAAACATTGTTGATCATGAATGGCTCAAGAGGGCACAAAAAGCTTGTTGATCACGAATGACTCTAGAGGGCATAAAAACCTTGTTGATCATGAATGACTCAAGAGGCAACAAAAACCATGTTGATCACGAATGAATCAAGAGGGCATACAAAATCATTGTTGATCATGTATGGCTCAAGAAGGTATCGAAATTATTGATGCTCAAGAGGGAATTTCGAATTACATGATGATCAAGAGAGGGTTGTAAAGGATCAAGAAGAATTTCGAAATTAGGGTTTGAGTCAAGAAGGGATTTCGAAATTACTTGATGGCTCAAGAGGGCATAAAAACCTTGTTGATAATGAATGACTCAAGAGGTCAAAAAAAATATTGTTGATCATGAATGGCTCAAGAGAACACAAAAACCTTGTTGATCATCAATGGCTCAAGAGGAATTTCGAAATTAGTGATTACTCAAGAGAGTGTTGTCGAGGATCAAGAAGGATTTCGAAATAAGTAATGACTCAAGAGGACATCCAAAATCCTTGTTGATCATAATTAGTGTTTGTTCAGCCAAACTAGGGTTGTTGAGCCAATCTAGTGTTTAGAGAGAAACTTGTGGCTCAACAAAGGATTTTTGAAAATAAGGTCGTTGTTGAGCCAAATTAGGTTGTTGAACCAAACTAGTGTTTCGAGAGAAATTTGTGGCTCAAGAAGGGATTTTCGAAAATAAGGTTGTTGGTGAGCCAAACTAGGGTTTTGAGATAAACATGTGGCTCAAGATGGGATTTTCGAAAATCAGGAGGTTCTTGAGCCAACTAAGGATTTTGCAAGAACAAACTTATGACTCAAGAGAGGTTTTTTGAAAATGGGTTTCTTGTTGAGCCAAACTTGCTGTTATGTGAAGGTTGCTTCTTGCTTCTCACCAAATTAAGTTGCTTGTTGCATACACAACTGTTGCTCACGATGCGTTGTTGTTCCGAGTGAGTATGAAGGTAAGAATTTGTGAAAGAGTGAAAAACCAAGAATGAGAAGTAGAAGTGACGGATTTATAGTTGAAGGGTTCTAGGGTCTCTCAATAGGTTGAAATATGGGTTGCATGGGACAACATATGGGCCCATAAGGCTTGGATGGTACTCAAGTATAACTAGGAGAATTTCAACTTGAGTCGCGAGCCTGATAATGATGCATGGGAATCTAGAATGAAAAGGTGGTACACACATGGATGATATCTTTGAGGCGTGCATGACACCTAAGGAAAGATCTACTTGTACATGGCCTACTTGAAACTTGTATGCTACCTATTCAAAACGTGCGTTACACATTTATTATGCTTTATGTGGATTTAATGAGCCACATGGGCGTGGTGCATCAAGTGGTTTAAGATGCTTCAAGCTGTTGATCATGAGCCAATGTTCTTGATCATGCTCCAATGTTGTTGAGCATGGTCAAATGTTTTTGAACATCCTCCAAATGACTGACGATGCTCCAAGCTGGTTCAAGTGATCAAGATCCTTCAAGTCGGTGAAATTGCTCCAAGGTACTTCCATTTAATCGAGATGATGAAGAAGTGCCAAGATACCTTAAGATGCTCAAGATGATCAAGATGATCAATTTGATGAAGATGGTCCAACATGCCTCAAGATGGTCAAGATGATCAAGATGATTAATTTGATGTTGTTGCGCCAAATTTGGTCCATGTTCCTGAAGTTGTTCCATGTTGGTCCAAGAGCACGAAGTTGCTTCAAGATGGTTCTTTAAGGATTTTGATCTTGACCTTCTTCACAATATACAAGAATGCTCCATAAACCAAGACAAACACATATGGTTTTCTAGAAGAGGACAATTCCTTCACATAAGATCCTGCACTTGGCTAAGGATGTTCCATGATCAAGTAAGTGATATTCTCTATCTAACTTAGATGCTTTACCTAGATTCTAAGGCATGAGTTAAACAGAAAGTATAAAAGTGAAAACACTAAATAATCTGACTTTGAAAATGATGTCCGTGCATATAGATAGAGAATATGAGAAAGGGAATAGTAAAATGCAATGACGTGTGCATACGTGGAAACAAGAACTTTAAGGAAACACTTATTCACTGAATTAGAGACATTGAGGATTATCTGTTGTTACTTACAAATTTATCAAGCAACTAAATTTTTTGTTTAATTCTTCACTTCGCATTGTAAAGAATTCCTTAGAGGATTATTATGTTTTGAATTCCTTAACATTACATAGAATAATCCGATTTGTACTCACCAATTATGTCTGACCGCAATGCGTATATTTGTATCTACGGACTAGTTACTTCTCAGGCCCTAAATACTAACAATCCTCATAAATGTTCCCCACTTATTTTGAGCAACATTCATTTTTGCCATTCCTACCACATATACCTTTTTATTGACTCCTTTTTGTTTCAAAAGTTATCACCAAATCCAAGTGACACGACTTTAAAAAAAATATTTATAATAGTTGACCTAAGAATATAACTATATATACACACACACACACACACACATATATATATATATATATATATATATATACATATACATATATATAGTAAAAAAATTATTTTTATTTATTTATTTATTTATTTTTGAATCTTTTCTTATAACTCTAACTTCGACAAAGTACACAAGA